CGGTCTGAGCTTCGAGACAACGGACGAGAGCCTTCGCAGCCACTTTGAGCAATGGGGCACGCTCACCGACTGCGTGGTGGGTGTCCCGGGCTGGCCCCTTGGCTGAGTTAAACCCATGTAACGAGCTGCTATATATTCCCCCTGCGTGGGAGAAAGGCGGGGGGTAGATAAGCTCGTGTGTCACTTGTACTCGAGGAGACTGCAAATTAGTCGGTCTCCTTGTCCTAGCCTTGGTCCGATGGGGTATTGAAACCCTTGGTGCTTTGGGGTTGCTGGATGGGTTTCCTTAAGCTGCCTTCGTGGTGTTAAAGATGCACTGCTGTTGGTGTGATTAAATAAGTGCAAACAGCATCATGTCTGAGTAAAAGCCAACAGCATATGGGATAAATGGGGAGAAAAGTTCCCAGGGGTAGCACGCAAATGGCAGAAGAAAAGAAACTGATTACAGAGAGATTAGCACCTATTAAAATAGAGTGGGTGTTTTTATCACCTTTATTTGTGCAAATAAGTATTTATAATGTGCTATAAGGGTGCAGACAAGTGACAGCTTTCACCTCTGGCCACAAAAAGCAGTTTATTGCATGAGGAATGGGATAAAGATGTTACAAAATGTAGCACCTTGTGTAACTTGTGTCTGCAGAGCTCCCAGCCCCTCCTTTTCAGATTGGGAGGGGGGAAGGGAACAGGGAGTTCAGTCTGGGGGGTTTTCCATCCCCCTGGAGTGTGGGGTTGGATGTATTGGAAACTCGCCCCCCCCTGTGGGGGCACACCAATTTGTCCACCCATCCTTCAGTACCAGCTTGGGTGCCCCCAGAAGAGCTCTCTCTGCTGCCTTTTTCCCCCTCCCATCATGCAAACAGCAGTGGCAGAGTTCTGGCTGTTGGTGTCAGAAAGCACCTCGATTCCCCTCGCCCTGGAACGAACAGTGAACTTCTGTTTGGTTTGGGGTAATGTAACTTGCTGCTTAGCAAGAATCTTTTGAGTTTACAGCTAGGAGCTGCACTTCTGTCTGCATCTTAAAACGAATCGGGTTGGCTTAGTCATGCATTTATATGTATTTTTGTTCTGAAATGCCAGTTAATGTTCTCTCTAGGTTTCCCTCTGTGCTCTTGTGTCGTCTTTGCTCGGTTGCTCATGGAGACTTGTGTTTTCTAGGTGATGAGGGACCCAAACACCAAGCGTTCCAGGGGCTTTGGATTTGTCACGTACTCCTCCGTTGAAGAAGTCGATGCCGCCATGAACGCCAGACCGCACAAAGTCGATGGCAGAGTTGTTGAACCAAAGAGGGCCGTGTCCAGAGAGGTAGGAACAACAAGACTAGTCCAGTGAGTCAGTGATAAGCGTGCTCCTCCATCTTGTACCAAGGCTGAGTTAACAGTGGAGCCCTTCATTTGCGTGGCTGCTCTGGTCATTTGAGACTTGGGCATGCTCCAATTTATGGGAGTTGCTCTAGCTCCTTACGTTCTGTGCTGTGAATGATTGCTCCTGAGGTAGCTTCTGCAGCCTGTTGTTTCATTGGCTGTGTTTGGGGGGGGGAGGTGATCTCTCTGCTATTTCTCACAGACTGGGTTACAAAGTTTCCCCATCTTGCTTGTGGTTTTGGGGTGGGCTGCAGTTTCCATCTCAATTTCAGTCCCCAATTGTGCCTTTATGGGCACCTTTGCACTGGAACATGGCTGAGAATTAGCCCTTTCCCCTTACTGTGGGGTCTGGTGTAGGTGGGGATTTGTTAACCACTCACCAGGTGCTACTTCAGGCAACAGGAGAGCAGCCAGTTTCAGTGCACTGGTTTGTAACTTATGTGGTTCTGGTCAGTGCGATGCCACCTTTATTGCATAGAGATGGGTGCTTGTGTCATGCTTCTTTCCCTCATGCATTTCCTCTCTGTCCTGTGCAGGACTCTCAAAGGCCTGGTGCTCACCTAACAGTAAAGAAAATCTTTGTCGGGGGCATCAAGGAAGACACAGAGGAGCACCATTTGCGGGACTACTTTGGGCAATACGGCAAGATCGAGGTGATCGAGATCATGACAGACCGCGGCAGTGGCAAAAAGCGAGGTTTTGCCTTTGTCACCTTCGATGACCACGACTCTGTGGACAAAATTGTCAGTAAGTACCTTGCTGGCTTTTACAGTCCCACTCAGCTTTTCTGCCTGGATACTCAAGGGTGGGTCAGACTTGTCAGTCACGTGGAGGTAATATCTCGTTCTCTTGCAGTTCAGAAATATCACACGGTCAACGGCCACAACTGCGAAGTGCGGAAAGCCCTGTCCAAGCAGGAGATGGCCAGCGCCTCAGCCAGCCAGAGAGGTGAGTGAATGTGAACTTGGCTGGTGTGATGCCGCGGTACAAGTGTCCTTCCTGGACAGGCTGATCCTAATGGCTTTCCCCTTCCCCTAGGACGCAGCAGCTCGGGGAACTTCGGAGGGGGCCGCGGAGGTGGATTTGGTGGGAATGACAACTTCAGCCGGGGCGGCAACTTTGGCAGTCGCGGTAAGTAGCTTGGGGCCTTGCCAGGGCAGGCAGAGGGATAGGTCAAGCTAACCTTGTGACTCAGCCCAGCTCACGCCAGGCGTATCAACACTGCCACCATTTCGGCTGCCACCATTTGTGGGTCCCTTTGCACTTGTCAGCCCGGGCGTGGGGCTGGGCACGCTTCCTTGGTCTCAGTTCTTGTCTGCTACCAAATGCGGAGTGGCCTGATTTGGAATCCCAGCTTTCGGCGTCAAGCTCCATCACGTCACACAAACAGCCCATTCCCTGGGTGCCCGTACCTAGCAGCATCCCCTCACGGATGGACTGAACACAAAGGTTTGTTCTTTTCAGGTGGGTTTGGTGGCAGCCGCAGTGGTGGCTATGGAGGCAGTGGAGACGGCTATAATGGATTTGGCAGCGACGGTAAGGCCAATGCATAATTCTGCTGACTGGCACCCAAGATGCCTTGTTTCCAGGTGGAAAAGCACGAAGAACTGCTGTCCTGTGAGATGAGGGGAAGCCTCTGATCTCCGTTCCTTGGCCTAGCTCGGGTAGCCGAGACGCTGACCACAGCGTGCAGAGCTTCCAAGCGATGTGGACCCGCTGGTCCATGCTTTAGCACCCCAGAGCAGAGGGCACGCTGTGGTCAGGTCTGGAGGGGAGCCAGCGCGCTCTGTCAAGGCAGCGTTGGGCATTCAGTGGGCTACTGGTCTTCCCCTGCAGGGTATGGCAGCAGTGGCAGCGGCCCTGGCTACTCTGGAGGCAGCAGAGGCTACGGCAGCAGCAGCAACTACGACAGCTATAACAATGGTGGTGGCGGCTTTGGCGGGGGCAGTGGAGGTGAGTGCCTTATGGACACATGCTGCAGGGGGTGCTTGGTGCTCATGACAGCAGCCTATGGGCCACCAAGGCAGACTCTGCACCTGCACTGCTTGGACCACTTACCCCTGGCAGAAATCTGCCTGCCCTGGGGGAATGCCTTGGCTGCAAGTATTCACAGCATGACACCTGCCCGGTCTGTCCTGAAGCTGTTAGTGCTGCTCCAGTTAGTTTCAGGGTTGGCAGAAGGGGTTGCAGCTGTCCTGCCTGCCTGCCTCCCTCCCATGCAGCCAGGGCTGGTGTGCCTGCTGGACACATCCCAAGCGGCAGATTCTGCCCCTCTGCATGGCACATTGCCTTAGGGCTTTACCTGGCTTCTCCCTCCTCAGGCGGCAGCTTTGGCGGCGGTGGCAACTACAATGACTTCGGCAGTTACAACAGCCAATCCTCTAACTTTGGCCCTATGAAAGGAGGCAGCTTTGGAGGCAGGAGCTCTGGGCCGTATGGCGGCGGTGAGTACCCCAGGAGGGTCTCCGCCCTTGCAAGGAGGCAGCATTGGGGATGCCTCTGTTCTGGAAGCTCTGATTCCTGCCCAGACTTTGCAAAGGGGCCACTGCCATCATAGTTCTCAGAAACTCCCCTGCTTTGCCCATGAAACTACCTACACACTTACCCATGGCGTGACTTGCAGCCTTACTGCATGGCTCCAGCTACAGAGCTGCGCTATAATAGGAGCTCCCGGACAACCAAGCACCCTCCTTGGCGCGATTGCTGCTTGCCTAGAACGTGGGGCTGTCCCAAGCTCCGCTCCTTCCTGTGCGTGCCCCCTGCCCCCCCCCCCCTCAGCTCAGTCCAGCCCTCATC